TGAGTCACTTAGCTTGATCGTTTCAAAATTTCAGATTTTTCTACCAAGTGGTTATTTTCTGGCAATAAAATAAAGGAGAAGTGTGCGGTGCTGGAATAGTGACGTTTTGGGCTTTTATTGCGTTTTTGGAGCCCAAGATGACCTAAGATGGGTTCGTGGCCTTCTGGAGAAGTGTTCATAACATTTCTATCTTTAAAACAAGCTATCTTGGGCTGGATTTAGAGGAGATTTGAGGCCAAAACGTGGTTGGGCAGATTGTAGGCAGATTCTCCGAATCCAATTTGGACTTTATATAACCAAATGTAAGTAGTTCTCGTTTATCTTTACATTTTTGGGGTTACCCATTATCACAAACTCCACAAAATACAGCAGTCCCAATTTGAACGAGTCCTCGCTTCCTCTTTCGGACTTTAGGAATGCATTTTCTAAGTCATGGCAAGTAATGTGACTTCTGTTGGTAAAATGCGCTTTCATAAATCGATTATGAGCATCCCCCGTCGAAGTTATGTCAGGCACTGTTGCACATTTCAAACCACTTATCAAACAAAAATCCTTTACATTGAATTGAGCAATGTTGGACCCTATTGCATAACTAAGGCCCAGCATGTCCTTTACACCAAGTCCTCTGACTCGCATGAGTGCCAGAGCATGCACAATTTGACCACTAAATGCAATTTTATGGAGGCCCAACAGGTGCCCAAAACAGCTCTCTCTAAATCCTTTCATAAGCGACTCACTGAAATGCGCCCCAAAATTACATAGGACTATACTCGCGATACACATATTATTCACCCGCGTAGAATAGACCTCTGACTTCGGGAAACAAAGCTCAAACCCAGATTCCATTTTATACCTGCAACAAACACCTTTTGCTTAAGAAAGAGAAGTGATACCTGCTCACAATATTATGAACACATTAAGATACAGAAGTGATACATACTCACAATATTATCGACACATTTTCGTCACATTAAGATACATAATTAATACATACAAATACTATTTCAACACATTAAGATACATAATTGATACCTACTAACACTATTTTCAACACATTAAGATACATAATTTTCACCTACAAACACTATTTTCAACACATTAAGATACAAAATTGATACCTACTACAAGATGCATTGATCCTTATGATCCCAAATCATCTCATATTCACAGTTAAGATTTAATTTTCTCTTTTGCGTTCTACTTCTAATGGTACTTATTATTTGTTTTTCAAGCCCCATTAAATCACTAAAATGATGCCCTACACTCACACCACTTGATGGGCAAAGCGGGATTACAATGAGGAACAGATAAAGGTTCCTGGAATTTTAAGAAAAGACAACAAACAAGTAGAATGCAAAAAAAAAAAAAGGAAGCAGCAACAGTTATGAATCTACAATTCAACAAATTACGACAAAGAATTGCAAAAAAAAAAAAAAAAAAAAAAAAAACCCAAATTTTGGAAAAATGAAAGAATGTTAAAACCGCTGCAAAACTTTAAAAAAGAGTTACTATGCTTCAACAAATTACTAGAAACTAAAAAACACAACACAAAAAAAAAACTGAAGCCAATTTATATTTTTGCAAACACAACTACTACAGAGATAGACTACTCTTACCCAGAAAATCAAAGCCCTAAAATCCTAAACAAAATTTAAACATTAAGTGAATGCAATATAACATGCAAACCTTAATATGAAAGAGAGAGGGAATTCGAGAGAAACGTACCGATTTAGACGTTCATATGAGAAAGACTAGATGAGGGAGATTCTACGACAACAGAAGAGGAAGTGAAAGAGAAAGAGTAGACTAGGGAGTTTCTACGACAAGAGAAGAGGAATACACAAATTTATATCTGGTAGGTATTTTAGGTGTTATGATTAGGGTTCATTCATAAATTCATTAAGAAGAAAGGGAACATCATCACGAAGATCAAAATTTTTAAGCTAGCAAAATGTAAAATAAACTAATGGAACACAATGCTCAGACTTGGTCATCTTTCAGTATGCCTTATTCCGTAAGGACAGTCCCACTTTGACACAATAATTTGTCACCTTTTTACAAGTAAATATTCAAACAACTTCATCTTGTTTAAGAAGAATTGAAGTAAAAAAGGGTATCAAGAGGAAGCTGATAAAACAAAGGAGAAAACTGTGGAGAAAGTAAATCCAAAATGACCTAGTTTCAAACGGTGGAGAAAGTATTGGAGCTGATAGGTCACCAGAGCTCAAGTCTTCCCTGCCGGCCCTTCTTTATGAGGTAAAGCTCCAATACAATTTTTTTAATTTTTTTCAATATGAGGAGTAGTGCTGTTTCTTTCTATTTTTTTGCTCATTGTATATTCTTCATCATACCACAATCTTGATTCCTAGATGATGTCGCATTCTCAAAATTGGTCGTCTAGAGTCTCTACTTTCAGAGGTAATAACTATTTCTTTCGTGAGCATTTTTAATTCACACTAACATCTTTTATGTGGGCAGAGAAGGTAAGAATTTGCATGTCTTATTTCCTTTTCATCTTCAATCTGGGCAGCCAGAGCAAAAAATCAATGTCAAATCTTACTTTATTTTTAAAAGTTATCACTTATAAAAAAGATTTTACAAATGTATACATCTAAATGTACTACACACCTGAAACTATTTGGGCATTCAACAATCAACCCTACGGGGCCGTTTGGTTCATGGGAAAGGAGGCATAGGAATGAGAATTCAATTGCTTTCCCATGTTTGGTAAGTCCGGGAATGGGAAACGGATTCCTGGCACATGGGAAAGTATGGGGGAAAGTGATGCCCCCTCTTAACTTGGGTTTTGCTTTCCCTCCTCATGAGAAAGTTTGGGAAAATGTGCCAACATTCAATGCACAATTTTCATGACTATTTTGTCCCTATGAACAATTTATAATTACAACGTATCATTAAATGCATTCTTTTTTTATTTGATTTAATATTGGTATAATTGGAAAATTATACAAATTTTGTTTTCCATTCCTACTCAAAACAAACATGGGAAAGGAAACAAAGTGAAATCTCCTGATTACTTTCCCAACATTACCAAACGTGGGAAATGAATCTTTCATTCCCATTCATTGGGAAATGACATGAGAATTGATTTCCCCTCAAATCCATTCCGTGAACCAAATGGGGCCTACATGTCAATTTCCCAAGTACAAATTACCAAAACATTACACACTTGAAAGGTAAGCACCTAGCTGGCTAGCTAGCTTAAGACCCCTTTTTTTTTTGGACGAAATCTTAAGACCCCTTAAGCTTTTTGAAAAAGGACAAAGCTTGTGCTCGACATGGTAGGACCATAAAAAGCCTTTACAAACATATAAATCAAAATGTACTACACCCCTCTTAAGCTTTTTGAAAAAGGACAAAGCTTGTGCTCGACATGGTAGGACCATAAAAAGCCTTTACAAACATATAAATCAAAATGTACTACACCCCTCTTAAGCTTTTTGGAAAAGGACAAAGCTTGTGCTGGACATAGTAGGACCTATATGTAATTGAGGTTTGAAAAATGAGCCAAAAAGCATATATTAGAGAGAGAGAATAAAAGCCCCATGAATTGGCGTGGGTATTCAAAAGCAAAGAAATGCTTATAATTGATACATGTGCATGCACATGGGAATAGTAGCTACTTAAATCATTAATGGGTTGTGTTGATTGTAACCGCGTTCTATTATTAAATGTCAACAATATCATTGGTCAAAGATGAGAAGAGAGATAATTATGAAGATATCAGGGGGAGATATTCATTAGGAGGAGCATCCAGAAGTACGCCATACTAATTGTTGTACTTTTCTTCCTTCCACTAGTTTTCTATCTCACTGGGTTTTCTTCAAGCAAGATTTTAATGAGGCAACTGACATATTATTTGTGGTCTCCAAGGGGGAGTGTTCACTACAAGAAAAACAGGTATTAGTGGCCGCCCACTTGGTCATAGAAACTACCCTTTTGGGTCACTGAATGTAATCAGTGTCCAAATATACTGGGTGGTCACTAGAAGCTCATCACAAATTCTATTTACTGGCCAATGTCAACTATTGGTCACTACAACACAAAGAATCAGTGGCTATCCCTGTCTGGTCACTAATAAAAACGCTATTAGGGACCACAACTTTGGTCACTAAAGGGCTTACAATTTCGGCACCAAAACATGCATTTTGGTCACTGAAACTGGGTCACGTGCCCACATTAGTGACCTACTTGCTTGGTCACTAATGTATTTCAAAAAATTGGTAACTAATTAGATTTACCTCTCCATGTTCTTTATTTATTGTATTACAATATTAAATCACAATTAATTTCTTTCAAACAGTACTGTAGATAAAATTTATAGCATCAAATAATTCATTGCATTCAAAAGCAATCCATATATCTAACATTCTTCCAACAAATTCACAAGATATCTCAAAAACAAAATGCTACATATTTAAGTTCAACTTAAATGTCAAGTGATTCCCAAAAACAAATAACATAAGATTCATCACTAGTAGATTGTCTTCTGCTCTTTATCCATCAGACCTGCATCAAACAAGGAATAATGTCATTTCTTACTTGGGATGCACTAAACCGGGAATTAACTAAATACAAGAATAATTAAACTCAAGAGCTAGCTAGCGCATCTCTAATCTCTAATTAATTAGTTGCTTAAAGTTTATCTAAATATGCTCAGTCAGGTTTATATAATGCCTTGGACAAAACTGTCTGACCAGGGAAAAGAGGATTGAGAGAGAAAAATATCAATTTCCAAAACTTTTCTCAAAATGGAATCAGTAAATGAATGAATACATGAGCATAATGCCAAGAAGAGGACTAGATAGTGTCTCACCTTCCACTCCTCTTTTTACAATGTTGTAAAGTCAAGAATGGAGCCCAAAATGGTAGAGCCCACAACCTAACTGATTGAAGAAAAATGATGATGCTTGTCTGCCAAACATTAGAGAGAATCCAAAGGCTTATGAGTTTGGCCTATAAATAAACACCTCTATCAGTAGAGAATGTATCTCTCCAGAAAAAGAATGAGAGCACACCAAGTGAGAAAGAAAGAAAGCCCCGATAGAGAAGGAAGAAAGAGGAAGAGTGAGAGCAGAGAGCAGAGAGAAAAATCAGTGAGCCAGTGAGATTGTAAACACTAAAGCTGTAGCCCTATTATTTTACATAGTCAATATTCCAACATATACCGTTCATTTTACAACATATATTTCTACTAGAGACAGAGAGAGAGGGTCAGAAATATGGAAGTAGCTGAAGAGATAGAGATTGCCATAGTTGGTGGTGGAATCTGCGGCCTTGCAACTGCCCTTGCTCTTCATAGGTACTTTGATTCTTCCCTACTACTGGAGTGTATTTCAAAACAGAATAAGTAGTTGATTAATTTATGCTTAATTATAGTATTTATTTATTTTGAGTACAAGCAATTGGGGAAAGGGGGTTTACACATGAGCATTCATGGGTGTCTGGGGTTTTCGAATCTCAGTCACAGGAGGACTTGAGGCCAAAGTACTCATAACCAACTGAGTAATTATTTTTATATGTAAAGATCAACATGATTTAGTACATGGAACATATGTAGGAAGGGTTTGAGGAGTGTGGTGTTGGAAAGATCAGAATCCCTGCGTGCCACCGGGGCAGCAATCACCATTCGACCAAATGGTTGGCGAGCTTTGGATGAACTTGGTGTGGCCTCCAAGCTCAGACAGACTGCCGTGCCGCTTCAAGGGTATTTATGTCCATATCTGTTTCTATAAAATAAAAAATAAAAAATTCACAATTAATTATACTATTATTGTTTTTGTTATTGCTATTTTCATACGTAGGACTACAGACATATGCCTCAATAGTGGGAAGCAACGAGAAATACCGATTGGGTAAGTGTGATTATATATGACCCAAGTTAATTTCTGTATATTACGTACATCAATAATATGCCTATAGTCATCATATATTTTCATCAAATTTGTTCAAGTCATTTTAAAATAGAGGATTTGGCGAAATTTGCTCCTCAAACATCCACCCTCGGTCCAAAAGGAGAGAGGACCTATGCTTTTGGGAGCCCTCCTTACCCCTATCCCCCTATCCCCCTATATTATATTAAGAAGAAAAAGAAAGATGCATCTGTGACAAAAACCAAAACCGCGTAGAGAAAGCTAAAAACAAATCAATGTAAGTAAAAAAGAAAACCACATCTTTCTAGTAATTAACATTACTCTTACTAATCCACCTCTTTCATGTTTACATGAAGTCTTTTAGGCCTAACCTTATAATTAATTATAGAGGTGGGGAAACAAGATGCCTGAAACGGACGGATCTGATCACAGCACTAGCAGATAGCTTGCCACGTGGCACCATACGCCTTGGATGCCAAGCACTCTCTGTTAAGTTAGACTCATCAACTACCAGTCCAAGTCTTCATCTCCAGAATGGAAGCTCCATCAAAGCCAAGGTGAACAAGTTATATTTCATTTGTCAATATCCAATGAAAAATAATATTAAGCCAAAATGAAAATTATACGTGTCAGGTTTTGATTGGATGTGATGGAGCCAACTCAGTTGTTGCAGATTTTCTTGACCTAAAACCAACAAAGCTCTTCTCATTATCGGCGGTTAGAGGTTTTACAATGTATCCAAGTGGTCATAATTTTGAGAACAAATTTGTCCAAGTTAGGAGTGACAAGTGCACAGTTGGAAGAATGCCCATTCACAATAAATTGGTTTATTGGGTCGTCATTCAGAGAGTCATGTATGGTAGAGGAGGTAAATTGCAATGTCCGATCCAATATACTTCCGGAAAATCATTTAAGTGCCTAATGGATAATCCACATAAAAATGCTTCAATAAGATCGAAATATTTCTACACGTGCACGTCACACTGACATTCTATGAATTAATTTGACACTTCCATTCTGATTTGGCTTTAATTGTTAAGGCTAATTGGACAAAATACAATTTACGGAACCAAAATGAAAAATAACTCAAACTATTGTAGAACCATGACTGAATTCTGATTACATACATGAAAGAAATTGTTTATATGAACAGGGTTGGAGGTTCCAAAGGATCCAGAGCTCATTCAGCAGCTGACATTAGAAGCAGTCAAAGACTTCCCTTCAGAAACGATAGACATGATAAGCAATAGTGACATTGAATCATTATCTAAATCACGCTTGAGATACCGTTCGCCGTGGGACATTCTGGCAGGAAACTTTCGAAAAGGAAGCGTGACAGTGGCTGGCGATGCCATGCATCCGATGGGACCTTTCCTTGCCCAGGGTGGCGCTGTTGGCATTGAAGACTCAGTTGTCATTGCTAGATGTTTGGCTCAGAAGTTGGCTGAAAATTATGATAAAAAATCAAGGGCAAAGCATATAATGATGATGGAAGTGGAAGAGGCTTTGGATAAGTATGTGAAGGAAAGAAGGATGAGACTCGTGCAGCTGTCAACACAAAGTTTTCTTGCTGGTTTGCTACATCAAGATTCTTCAGGGTTGGTCAAATTTCTGTGTGTCATCTTGATGGCCGCTCTTTTTCGTGATATGAATCGTAGCACTCGATTTGATTGTGGACGCCTTTAAAACTCTAGTGTTGCTTTAAGTTGATGCATTTTAACTAGATTCAAATAATGCTATCGTTCTGTGATCGGTGTTTTGTTTTTAATTGAAATAAACTTCTTAATGCAATGATATTGCATAGTTGAGGGAATAATGACTTTTTTGAAATGCCACTACTAGTTTCTTTTTTTTAACCCAATAATATTTGTTAACTACCATTAGCACTATAAATTTCACTTTTACAGTAGGCCTGGGCACGGTCTGATTCGACTCGGTTTTCAAGTAAAATTGAAATTGAAATTGAAACTATTCACCGATACAGTCCGGTTCGAATTTTAACTAAAATACAAAAGAAAACGGGACCAACCTAGACCAGTTTAGGTCCAGTTCGGTTTCGGTTTTCATGCTTTGAACCGGCTCTTTAGCCTAACTGACATTTCTACACAAAGCAATGTGAATCGCCGAATCCATACAAGAAAAACCATATCTAAACCTTAAAAGATACCAAAAAAACTATCCAGCAAACAGATCTAATCAATGCACCAAAGGAGAGTAAGAAACAAAAAGAGATATCAGACAAATAGGAGAGGAGAAGAAGAGAAGAAGAAATAAAGATCTGGTGAGAAATAAAACAATGAAATAAAAATACGAAAAAAAAAACAAGAGAAAGAGAGATATTCAGTGAGAAAGAATGGAGGAAAGAGAGAATAAATGAGATGAGAGGAGATAAAGGAAAGAATTGAAGCAAGAAGAGAGGAAGAAAAAATCGATGAGCAAGAAGAGAGGAATGAAAGAATGAGAGAGAGAAAGAAGAAATCAGAGAAAAGTGAGAGAATACAGAGAACTTAGAGAAGAGAGAGAACTTAGAGGAATAAACAAATATTTTTGTTATGGGTATTGACTATCGAGCCTCAAAAAGTCCGAAAGATTTCATAAAAAAATAAAAAAGAGCCATTCACTTCCCTCTACCAAAGACATCAACATCATGAATGAACACCCAACTTGCTTTTTAATCACGTGCTCCGCATGTGTAAAAGAACCCCAGGGGAAGAGCTTTAACCTTAACCCCTCCCCGGCTCGGAGTGGTTGCACACTTGCCACCATTTTTTCATCAAAAAAAAGACATCAACATCATGAATGAACACCCAACTTGCTTTTTAATCACGTGTCTCTCATGGTTTCCAAGTTGGGCATTAAAATAGTATAGAATTGATTGTACCAATGTTCTCTCTCTTCTTTCTTTTATTTTTTTAGACAACCAATAAAAAACAGCCGTATGTTAAATTATATATATAATATATAAATATATAAAAATTAATTTATTAGACCGGTTTCTTGTGGTGGAAAATCGAAACCAAAATCGGTCTGAACCGGTCTGGTTCGAATTTATTTTGGTTTTTTACTTTTTCGATCAACACAGTTCTTTTTGAATTTTTTCGGTTTGGTTTGGTTCGATTTTACGATTTTGCGTTTCCAATGCCCACCCATATTTTACAGTACGATTAGCCCCATAAGCATCAACTCTCTACGCTGAGTCTTGGATCTACTGTCCTCAAATCAGCTCTCTATCCTTAAAAGAGTCCATAAGCATCAACTCTCTATGTTGAGTCTTGGATCTATTGCCCTCAAATCGGCTCTCTATCCTTAAAAGGAGTCCAGATCTGCTGTCCTCAAATTTCAGAGTAATTTTTGGGTGTTCCAGGTACACCACGTGACTGGTGTACCATCCAATAGACGAAGGACATATGAAATATTACCAATCCAGCCCACCACTTATCATAAAAAGAAATGTAGTAAGACAATAATTCCATATGTTCTATATTTTTTGGATGGTACATCAGCCACGTGGTGTAGCCGGAACATATAAAAATTTCTCCAAATTTCATGTCTCCTCTACGAGAAAGTAAGGCCGAGTGTACAAGTAGAAGATCCATAAGCACTGACAGAAAAGATCTGATTTTTTACTTCTCCATACGAATTAACCAATGTTCGTGACCTGTTAAGTTGGGGAGAAATGTCAAAAATTTATGCAAGGGACAGAGGGCATAGGAAATTCGGAGACAGCAGATCTGGACAAGCTTAGAAGTAACACATAAATTATAACCAAGAAAAAGAAGTAAACACGTAAATAACTAAAAACAACAGATCAAGTCTGGAGAACGAAGTGTCAATACAGATCATGAAGTGATACAAGATGCAGATGTACTTTTTTGAATTACCTCAAACCAAGTACACATGCGGGAGCAAAGTACAAATAGAAGATGCTGGTCAAAAGTGAAGCGACAATTGTATGCAAGTGAAGATAAATTTAAATTTTTGTGATACAGAAACTACTCAAAATTTTCCTATTCTAACTAATTTACTGATTACACTAAACACAAGCTTGTGTAAGCTACGTGAATAATATGGTGCCTCATGCACTGCAGATCCACTGATCTGACTCTTATGTGGACATAATATTACAAGCAATCAAAATTGATTGAATCAATAGCAAGCTTTATGTTGTTGTAGAGCAAGCAAGTTGGTGCCTGCACATGTATGTAATGAATTGCCGCATCAAAACCGGTCATCTATGACTATCTGCTACGATGGCTGAATCTGATCTCGCCGAAGCATCTGTTGGAGTTTAATGACCTGTTGTTGCTGTTCCGGAGACAATGAGCTCAGCTTTTCAGGTGTTAGGCTCAAAACTTGTTGTAGTAGAGCAGACTCCACCCCAGGTGGAAGCTGAGACTGAGAAAAAGAAAACATATGATGTCAGATACTCAGATCAAATGGGAAATTCGCAACTACCATGTAGCATTTCTTGCCCAACATTTTTTGGAAAAGAAGAAACTTTTATTATCTTACAGTTTAATAAGTACAGACAGTGGACACTATAAACTACAAACTAGAGTTAAACGTACTAAGATTCAGGGGCAAAGTCTTTATGTTATACATGCTGGTTTATCAAGAACACACGAAAAAAAAGGTACTTCGAGTTGTTGATTCATTGCTAGAGATGGCTTAGAACCAAAAGTTCATTATGTAATTGATATTTCCTTTCTAAACCGAGTTAAGAGAACACCAAAAGTTCACCAAAATTATTATAAAGAAAAACTCATTAACAGAGAAAAAAAAAAAAAAAAGAAGAAAAGAAATCCTTCAGCTACTCAAATAAGTGGAAATCCAAACACTTTTCCAAAATCCGCTGAGTATAAAATCCCACATTTTTATTAAAGCCTAAAATTTCAATTTATGAAATCCTACATCTTTCCATTAATGCCATTTGGTTTTCCATTCGATGCTGTATCTGCAACATGATACCAGAACAAGAAGTTCATCCATGTTGAGGCCCAATTTGCACCATATAATTGAACCATGAGTTTGGCTTTGTGAGCCCACACGTGAGGGGATGTGTTAAGAATATAAATTCTCACATCAGGCTCCACCTATGCCAATTAGTTATTGGTTTTGAGTTGGATGGTCTAATTTAACATATGCTTAATCAAAACTTGTGCTAGCAATTAATGATACTCGAAAAATAAAACTTCTGCATCACTGAGAGCAAGACAGCTTTCTTTTTACAATAATGTCCAGTTTAAAGACCAAACTAGCGAAGACACGAGAAGTAAACTGGAACAAAACAAACAAAAACACAAAAACAAAAACAAAACAAAAACACAAAAACCAAAACAAAACAAAACAAAAAAATCACCAAAGGAAGACATTACCTGAGAAGTCTGTTTCTCAGACTGCAGTACTTCTTCTGGGTTAGGAACAGGCTTCCCAGGCATTGAGCCAGCTCCAAAAACATGAGGCAATGCAGATCCATTGGCATTAGACACAAGCCCTGCTGACAAAGAGGTACTCCTTCCATCGTCCAACTTCATTTGCTTTGCAGGGCGCTTAACTGATTCGGAAGATAAATCATCATCCCTGTTGACTGCCAGTGACATTCCCGAAGACATTGAGGGACCAGGCTGTTACAAATATAACAAGTTAAATAACACCAACAAATAGTGAAACTAGCAAGATAACTAAAAGCGCCTAAAGACTAGAAAGGTGAGGTAGTTTTTTCCCACCCTAGTTCTTTGTATTTGTAAATACAAACAAGTAACCTTCCTTATCAGAAAAATGGAAGAGATTTTATGACTGTTAACTACAGAAATACAAAACATACAAAATAAATTATGTAGAAATTTTATCCAGCTTAACAAAATATTATATCCATCAACACAACTAATCATCTTTTTCTTATCCTCTGCTTTAGTGGGAGGTAGACATCCAAGACGAAGAAGGAAAGGATGGATATTTTTCTTCCAAGTATTTTTTTTATTTTTAAAAAAAAAAAAAAAAAAAAAACCACGAAACAAAACAACAGCTAGATATTAATATGGGAGTTTCACTAAAACACCCAAAATGGGGGCTGAAATTATAAAAAAACCCAACACCCAAAACACTTTATAAACACCCAAAACCCATCATTACACACTCAAAACCCATTTATAAACACACCCAAAAAATATACAATTGTTGATTGTGGGGTTGATTTTGGGTGTGTTTCTATGTTTAAATAGTGTTTGGGTTTTTTTATAAATACATGTCTAGGATTGGGTTTATTTATAAATATCTATATTAGTATTTGCCTATTCATATGACAAGAATTAGAAAAAGTTGGCACCTGAAAGCTGGCATCAGATAGAGGGCGAGGAAAAGGAGACTGATGTACAGAAGCATTTGGACGAACCATCTGAGTGTTTTGCCCCAAATTGGCACGTCCAACCAGACCAGGATGCTGTAGCAAAGGAGGCTGCATTTTCTGGTTTGAAATAGAAGAATTTGCAAGTTGAGTTTGTGGTCGAATGGGCAAACCGCCTGAAGACTGGGGGTGTATGGGAGGAAGTGTTATAACTCCAGACTGCCCTAGCAATGGGGCCTGTTGCAAGACATGTTGGTTTGCATGTTGTGGAAGCTGCATTCGAGGTTGCATGTGTTGTTGGGGTGCAGATAACTGGCTCCGAACCAATGGATTTTGAGGTACCGAAGAAAATTGGCCTTCTCGCACTTTGGGCACCAACCCAGCTTGCAACCTATTCTGTGCAGGAGGGGGTAGCTCAGAAAGGGTTTGAACAGCTGGTGGCTGACCCTGCTGGCCCTCATTGAATGGAGGCTGTGAGGGCTGACTTGAAGT